AGGTGGAAGAGGGGGGCACGGGGCGGCGGCTTACTGTGTACTCAGTGTTAATATCCTTTCCAGTGTGATTATAGCTATCTCATTCTGAAATGGACGCACGCCGATCCATCAGCGCTGGTTCTAAAGCACAGTACTACGTCTGAGCTAGTTGTTGCTATAGTCTGCTTCTGTACTTCCTTCGTTTCATTTTTGAATTTGTAGAAGTTAAGTTGGTCGCCCACCTTAGATACCCCTAGCCCCAGAATTCTGTCTTATGGGACCGTTGGTAATGCTATGGTTTAGTATTTTGTTTTTTTAGTTTAATTTAAGTTTTAGCATAATTGTGTTCTTAGTTTAGTTAGTTCTGTTAAGTGTACCTTAGTTTGGCTGTATCTAGCTAGACTAAAAACTAAAATAAAGGTAAAATTAAGGCAACAAAATAAAAACTAAACTAAACTAAAACTAAGCTTAAACTAACAAAACTAAAAGAGAATGCATGACTAGGGATTAGGAGTATCTAAGGTGGTAGAAAAACTTTATTTCTTCCAGTTCTCGGGCCCTGACAGCAGCCATAGTCATATAGGCAGATAGTATTGCCGACAAAGACCAGGGAGACTGGAATTGCAATTTCTGGCTTATTAGCCGTCGTCAAACAGTTATATTCAACTCTAAGGGATGAACTGCCCGAGAAATGAGGCCTAATGCGGAGCAGAGTGGGACAAGTGAGTTTCGTTAGCGGTCGGTTAACGTTCTTCAACGATTGTCAATATCCTCCGACTTAAACCGGAAAGACAATGAACATGTGGCTCAGTGGTTAGGGTATTAGACTGTGATCAAAAAGGTCGCGAGTTCGAGCCTCGGGTGGTGTACCACTTGGGGTTGGGTATGGCTGGCTGATGACGGCTAATAAGCCAGAAATTGCCATTCTAGTCTCCCTTGTCTTTTCTGACAATAATATCTGTCTACTACTACTAGTCGCTACGGCCGCTGTCAGAGCCCGAGAAATGAGGCCCAAAACAGGGCAGGGTGGGACAAGTGAGTGAATATCAAAGATGGGAAAATCTCAGAAAGGATACCCCGGTCTATGTATTTGCTGCTTCAATACACTTCTGTCAGTGACTGGACACAAAAGTTCAAAACCTCTTCGAATTTCGCAGTGGGTTCAAATGATTTAGTTACTGCTACATGAGTACAAATGTTTCTGCTGAAGTCTGCTCGCGCTAATTTCTCGCTTGCTCGTTAGATTCCTATTGTAATATGCCCACTGGCTCGGTGTGGCATTTATTTCTGAAAAACTCAATAAGTTAGCAAATCTCAGGGTCTATATAGCTCTCCCTCGTTCGGGTTTTTCCTCGAGGCCTCAATATTCTTACCAAATTTTATTCAATTTCCTCCGAATTTGAGGGTATTTTCCATGCTCTTACTCCATAATGGGAAGACCTTTTAAGTCATGTGGGCCTTCTACTCCCTGTACTTGATTTGTATTTTTTCATATCCTACGTGGTACATCTCCCCATAATTAGTTCTCATCCAATAGTCATTAAGGACAGTAGCGAAACCTTTTTCACCTCTCTAAACCTCATCATTAATGGACGATCTCCTCCAGAGTTTTTAGACAATTACGTGAAACGGCCAGCCACGGCAGTCGTGGGAGGGATGCAGTAATAAGAGAATAAGTTAAGCTGCCTCTTCCAATTAGGCCGTGAGATGTCTACGTGGTTCCACGTGCCCACAAGTGAATATTTCATAAGATGTCAGGAGGGGCAGAGTCAAACAATCAAAAAGATGCTTTCGACTCCGCAGTTGGGACTTCTCTTTCTTCCTTCTTCGTCATCGGTGTCTTCCCCTGTGCTACCCCCTATCCTCACATCCACTATTCGCCATCTTTGACGGGGATTTCCAGTCGATGGCTGAAGTTTGTGAAAGCAGTTATCAATCGATCGTGTGAATACAGGCTGCCGAGTTAAGCCACGTGTCATTGACCCCCAGGCGAGCCGGTGTCGGTGTTTGGAGCAGCCCTAGCAGGCGCGTTATCACACTGTCCTTATGACTCGTCCCACGGTGCACTATCGATCGGCAGAGGCTGCGCGCTTGATGAGGTCGCACAATCCATCCTACCATTCGGATGAGCCAGTCGGCATGTTACCCCTCAAGGACACGATCTGATTGGTCCGATTGCACCTGCTTGTACATGCTCTGCTTGCCTTAAATACCCTGTAATGAGTACTTTGGTAGACTTCGTTTCTTGCGTCATTTGGATGGGGATTTCCAGTCAATGGCTGAAATTGGTGAAAGAAATGTGGGTAGCTATCAATCGATCGTGTGAATACATGTTGCCGAGTTAAGCCACTGACTCCCCGAGTGTAGGGAGGAGGGTTGAAGATTTCGAAAATTCACGGTCCCTCCTAACAACCGCGGAGTTCTTCGAGGGTCTATCTCGTCCCCTCACCTCTTCTTTCCGTACGCTGGCGACCTACGATCGCCAGATGAATGTGTTTATGTAAAATATACTGATGATGTGGTTGTTGGTAATCCTCTCAAACGTCAGACACATTTCCAGATGTTGAAACATGGGCTGGACCAGGCCTCAGCATGGTCTTCTACTGAATAACCAGAAGTAAGTCCAGTGAGTTTTCCGATTGCGATCCTATCCCAGTTCTGAATCCTTAGTCATCCTGCCCTATGAGGTATCCTCTCTCCGGTACTTTGATGTTACTCTGATATGTAATCTTTCATTTACTCTTCGTATTGAAGCCCCCTTTATTAAAATTCATAAACGACTACATTATATCCGTCGGTTACTTTCATATCACACATCTCATGCCCTAGCCTGGTGATTTATAGATACCTACCTTTCCCCAGTCATTATCTACCGCTCTCCGGTTATTTTTCCAGCGTTGATTTAAATAAAACCTGTTGACTTTAAAACGTATCTTTCGAATGCTCTTTTCAGCTGCCAGTGTTTCTTATGCTATTTTAACTGCTATTACAATACAGTGACAGATTAAAAATTTTCATGCAATTTGCCGATTGCATTCATGATGGGATTGCTCATCTTCTACACGCTGAATTAATGGCTGCGAAGTCTGGCCACACTATGCACCGAAGAGTTCGACATAGTTCCTGCCGTACATCGGCATATCAGCAGTCTGTACTCCCATTCCTAGTACGCTACCTCACGTGTACAGAAATGGAAATCCGGAAGTTAAGATTAGACCTGTCTCTAAAATATATATGGAGAATTTCTTGTAAACCTCCAGATCTTTCAGTATTTTATTAACTTACCCCTCGGTCTCAGTGAAAGGAGCCATTTGTTGCTGAAAATTTTGGATGCTCACTTTTAAAAAAATTTAAAAATTTAAAAAAATTCGGTCTCTGACCCCCAGGCGGGCTGGAGTCAGCGTAACCAGGAGTCGTAGACATTAAAGGGCACACGTATGTGTTTGAGTGAAGTAATACAACCACGTAATCATGTATTTCCTAACATGACTACTACTGTTCGGTGCTGTTACGTATGAGTCAACAGGCGAAAATAGGTGAAGTGTTGGGTCTACTGTGATAAACAAGGGTATGCTCATATGTTTTGTCTGCTACGCCCACTGCAAGTGAAAGATTGCCTTATCTTAAGTATAAAATTTGAAGAAGGCGTTTCTGCTCCCAAACTTGCATAGAAAAGGAATATTCTTGTGCATTTTTGCTACCATATATATTTGAATTTATTAGGGCGCTGAAAATTAGTGTGAAAATGCCTACTACATAATTAGCCATTTTTTACACAGCGTGCTTCTTACTGGTGGCCAAAAGGAAGCGCATTCAAAGGCCGGCATGCTGAGGTGACTAAAATATTTTGTGATTAATTCGCACGCTAATCAATCTTACAACAATACTTAATTAATATATTCGAATCGAAAGCAAATTTCGGAATTTCGACTGAAATTTCATCTCATATATTAGCACTGGTGGTTTTATTCCCTTTAATACCGTAAATGACATTACTGCTGGTAAAAAGAGAAGATAACTGATAAATGAATTTAAATTCCGGAGGAGTTAAACTAACCGGCGATTCTGGAACCAGACCTGTACGACGCGCATCTCAAGGCCCGTCTCTGCACTGAGTTGTTCGCGGATGTGCCGTGAGGGTTTGGCGCCATCGGCATAGGCTCTCTTCAGAGCTTCCAACTGCTTGGCCGTTATGGTTGTCCGCGGCCTTTTGTTCACATTTTCCAGTTCTGCTTCTGTGTTTTTTTTTTCAAGAAAAAAAAAACTGTGGTAAGTGTAGGACAACAGAGTTGGATTAAATCTAAAGATTCGTGCGTACGCCCGCGCACATTAATGTATACAAGTATTTACATAAAAAATATGGTTTATTTTTCAGTAGTATCAAGAAAATACGCATGTTTTGAAACGGGTTTCTACGTTCAGTTCTTCTGTCTCCAGTTGCGTCTGATTTGGCTCAAGCGTGTGAAGATTTTAACCCACCCCCTCCCCTTGGTTGGGGGGGAATATAGCTCAACCCCTTGTTAAGGCTGACTTATAATGGGAGTTAGGAGCCGTACAATGTCGGTTGCACTTTTAGTAAACTCTTCAACTCTTCTGAAAAGGCGGGCAGACTATCAGAAGTAAGGAATTCTGAGAGATGAATTAGAATTTCCGACCTTCTAAATTTGCGTTGGTTGTTCTACCAGCTGAGCAACTGCGGACAGACCAAACATCTGGGCGGATATATTAATATCCTGTGAATGTCTAAACACCCTACCTCCCCCCCTGCGAATCCTACGTTTTTTTCTATCCGATATCCAGTGCCTTCCTGTCGAACTCCAAATATTGAGCTAAGCAGCAACCTGTAGGCCGCCCTATATTATAAGGCGCACTGTCAATGAACGGTTTATTGTCGAACCTTTTTCTTATATAAAGCTCACCGGACCATAAGGCACATTAAGGGAAACAAAACAGCCAGATAAGTCATTCAGTCAAACTTTATTGAACGCATTCACTATAACTCTCAGTTGCTGAGAGACGACAGTTCGTTTGCGGATGGACAGATTCACAAGACGAAAGCACCAAGAAGGACCGCCTCGAAAAGCGTTAATATTCATGTCCCGTGCAAACGTTGTTGTCCTCATTCGAATAGAGACTGTAGAGACGCTTCTACCGGCTGCTCTCTGTTCAATAACTCAATGTTCAATTTCATCTCCTAACTGTGGCCATCTCGCTCGTTTTTCATCGGAAACTCGGTTTGGTCTTCTTTACTTCGTGTAGGTCATCTTCTTGCTCCCTCCGCCGCCATACTACTGGTTCATTAATGTGCAATCCTCTTGCAGTTGTTCTATTCCCCCTGTTCTACTGTGAGACTGACAGCCTTCAGTTTGAAATCCGCGTCGTAAGCGTGTCTCCTGACAGGTGGCATTGTGGGTCTCATACACAAAAGCTCTAATATTATGGTGAGGCACAGTATATATCACTCCGCAACGCGCCTGACTACGCATTAACGCAGCCCCGTGTACAATACAAAATCGCTTCGATGCCAGTAACCAAATTAAAGGCTTCTAAGTGCGCCTTTTAGTCCAGATAATAGGATATTCTGTTTATTAACGTATACGCGAGCTAAGAGGTGATAATGGCTGACCCCAATCTGTGGATGCATGACACTACTCTACAGTTACTGTCGATGAAGGGTTCTCGACAGAATCCGAAACGTCAGGCAAATAAACTTTTTGTTCTAATGATAACATCCTCTTCTTCTGAACTGCTTCCAGTTCCTTTTGGGGAGTAGAAAAAGTATTGGTCCTCTAATAAAGGGTACTTGGCAGAATCCGAAACGTTAGGCAAATAAACTTCTTGTTCCAGTGATTATATCTTCTTCTCCTGAATGCCTGCTTTCTTCTCTAACTAGGGACTTTTAGCAAACACTACGTGCCCATTATTACTCCACGTATCAATAGATTCCAGCAATTATTTCAGTGACTTACCTTGCGCCTTGACCATGTTAAAGTCCTCCTTGCACATGAGTCGTCGATTGCCCAGCAGGTAGAACTCATCACCTGTGTTGAGAGGACGTGAACAGGAGTAACAGACAAAGCAGTCTAAATGGTAGACATGGTTGTGAGCTTTGCGCACGACTTCTGAGGGTGGGATACCCTCCTCACAGCTGGCGCATTTGGTGCCGAAGCGTCTGGAGAAGAGAGATATAAGAAAATGAGGGAATAGTTGCCCGCGCAATTTTGTCAACTCGTGCATACGCAAGTAAGTCAAGAAACCAAATCCAACCAGCCCAAACGTTCGGCAAGCTCCTCCGTACGTGAAGAATGTATTGGAAGCAGTCAGCTGCCTGCTCACCCCGCCTGGAGTTGGAGTTGCGCACAGGCCATAAGCAACCATCAGGCGCTGGGTCAGGGGACCGAACGACCCTCTACCACGGCAGGAAACGGCTGGAGTCGTTTACAGGATCTGGTACTGTTGTGTACGGAGCAACTCTGTCGAAGAAACCGGGAGATTAAGGCGGACGCGAATGGCCGAGCATCCAGCGGTGGTGAGGAAGAAAGACGCCAACTCCCAGGTTGCAGCTCAATCGGCGGGATCGGGCCATATTTTCAAGTTTAACGAGGCCTAAACCTTCGCAAGAGGTGACAACCGCGTAAGTCGCGAGCTGCTCAAGGCCCCCAGTCCATCAACAAGCGCAAAAATTTACCATTCCAACACTACGTACTGAGACATTACCTGAGCAAGAGAATCCGTCACGTGGGAAAGGCCGGACCCAGCAGCAACTCACACACCAACGAGAATAATTGTCGCGCAATTACCAAGCCCACATCCAACACGGACAACGAAATCGTGGCAATTAATAAGTCGAACGTGAAGCATCAAGCCATCACCACACCAATTAAGACCCCCGAAACGGTGGTTACGGCAGCTGATAATTATAGTACGCATGCGGGCGACCGCTAGGAACGATAAATACCATGAAATCTGCGCATGTATCATCCCTATCTGTGCATGTCTCGCAGTGTCCTACGGTTACCTATGATTAAGGACTCTCGACAGAATCCGAAACGTCAGGAAAATAAAATTCTTATTCCAGTGCTCGCATCTTCTTCTTCTTCTAAGCTGATGATAACGGATTTTCACAATCTGAACCTCCAATTCACAAAGAGAAATAATGTGGGGTGAGCCTGTAACTGCCTAAGGGACAACAAAAAATAAACCCCATGCTTTTTTTCCCTATTTTCACACGCGTCCAGTCTGGCCTAAACTGCCGCGTTTGCGGGATTTGTGGATTTGTGCAGAGCGAGGAGGTTATAAGTGGCCGCTGCTGCCCAGTCCCCCCCCCCGGG